CTCTTGTTCCATCTTTGATGATAGGGGGAGAAATTTTAGCCCCCTCAGAGAGGGCCCGCAATCTGGGAGTTCTCCTGGATATGCGGCTTAGTTTAGAAGAACATCTGATGACCGTGAGCAGGGGGGCCTTTTACCAGGTTCGCCTGGTACGTCAGTTGTGCCCCTTCCTGGATAGGGATGCTCTGTGCACAGTCACTCATGCCCTCGTCCTTTCTCGCCTGGACTACTGCAACACTCTCTACATGGGGCTGCTCTTGAAGAGTACCCAGAGGCTTCAACTGGTCCAGAATGCGGCTGCGCAGGTTATCATGGGGGTACCGAGGTTCTCCCATAGATGCCCCTTTTAGGTGGCCTGCACTGGTTGTCAGTTGTTTTCCGGTTGCGATTCAAGGTACTACTTATGACATTTAAAGTGCTCCATGGCTTAGGCCAAGGGTACCTGCCAGACCACCTACTGCCACCAATAGCCTCCCACCATCCAGTGTGATCCCACAGAATTGGCCTCCTCAGGGTGTCGTCGGCCAGACAGTGTCGGCTAGCGACCCCCAGGGGGAGAGCTTTCTCTGTGGGAGCGCCTTCCCTCTGGAATGAGCTGCCCCCAGAGCTTTGCATAATCCCCAACCTCCGGTCCTTCTGACGTGCCCTAAAAAGTTGGTTTTTCCAGCAAGCCGGCCTGGCTTGAACAAAATAAAACAAATAATTGATTTAATTGTTAATTTTAATCTAATTTTTTAAAAATTTTTATTAATATTAATTGGATTTGTTTTTGGATACTCTATCTAATTTCCTTTTTAACTTTTGTAATATTTTTTTTTAAATGTTGTATGCCGCCCTGAGTCCTTTGGGAGAAGTGCGGCATATAAATCCAATAAACAAACAAACAAACAACAAACAGCAAATAGTTTGGTCAAGTTCAGTACAGCCTGATTTATTACAAACAGCTGATTGGCAGAACAGCCTCCCAGAATACCACCAATCAGCTGTTCCGGGCTGTGGGGATTACCATCACCCATCACTGCCGCCACCTATCATCACTTCTGATCTTTTTCCCAGTCCCCAAGGCCATTTCCTTGTATGATTTCAGCCCCCCCGCACTTCCCCCCCTCCAGTGTGGAAAGGATCAAGGATACTCATACATGGCTTCCCTGACATGCTCCACCAGGACACCCAGCCGGCGGGTTTATAAGACGCACAGACGTTTCCACCCACTTTTGGGGAGGGGGAGTGCTTCTTATAGACCAAAAATATGGTAGGTTGAGTAAGTAGTTTTGTTTGTATGGTACTTAGAATCTGTTGATTGGCATGAAATATAAATACTATAAAGTAAATAATAATATAAATACAAGCATGCACTTGATGAGGGCTACTGAACAAAGAGTTGTAAATATGAATTTTGTTTGGACTGAGTTTGTATTGGTTAATTATAAAAATGATTACTTTTTAATTACAAAATGGAACATCTGTGATTCTTATTTTTGTTTTTTGTGTATGAATTCAGTATATAGATTACTACAAATCATTAGATTAGGATTTCAAGATCCAAAATAAAATACTTGCATGTAGACATAGCTAAAATGGAATTTTAAAAATCTCTAGAGCCTGGCCATAGAATTTTCTGAAATCAATTATGGTGTATTGGAAAGGAAATTATGAAACGTCACTTGAAAGTATCAAGATAATGCTATCCTTAGTTCAAATAAAACTACAGAAGGTTAAAAAAAACACCTCTTTTCCAGTACTTCAAAAATCTGTAAAAATAATTTTCTGGGTAGGTAAATGCAAAACTTAATAAAAACTCCACAATTTTTGATTTGCACCAGACTACCTTCTCGGGGTGCCCTGAGAGCTTCTCTGAAATGCTTCCCTTCCAACATCCTCGAGAGCCCTTCCATTTGCGGATGTTTGGCAGAGTTGGCTGATTTAATTCCATGCAAAACTGTAAAAAGTTGGATGGGAAGAGAGGAAGTTCATTATACTGGAGCATTTCTAGGTCACTCTTAAATTCCATAGGGAAAAGTTAAGGAACAACCATTTATTTCTTTCAATGAAATATTTTTAAAGAATTGCATTTTTTAATATTATTACTCAAATGTTAATTTGTATACCCAAAGAAAAGAAATTATGAAACAGTTATATTAAAGATGATTTAGGACTAGATACTTTGATGATTAAGCAGGCCAGAGGTGGGTTCCTACCAGTTCGCACCTATTCGGTAAAACTGGTTCGTCAAATCTACCAAACTGGTTAGAAGAGGTTCCACCAGTGGACCCGGAAAGCAGGCCACACCTACAAAGAGGTTCCAAAAATTTTTTGAAACCCACCACTGGTCCTTGGATATGATTATTCTACACTATCNGATGCCTATCTGTAGAGGCTCAGTGGCAAATGAAGCTGGCTCCCTCCCTGCTATTGACCCATCTAGTTGGCAAAAAGCTATGGGGCTTTTCAGATTCCTTAATTCCTTAATATTAATCCTCAACTTCCTTACCAGGGTTGGGCTGATCAAACAGCGGGCACACCCTGAGTCCAGTAAAGCTGAGATTTTCATCCCCCTGTCCCAGTTGGGGATAAATAGTCTCAGGGGCAAGGTAAGTGGTTTAATTGGTTTGCTTACCAGTGGTTCAGCCTCTGGATCGCTTCCAGATGAGTATGGTTCCTTCTGCTGCAAAGCCGGGGTTTCCTCCTCAAAGAAGGGAGGGGGTGGAAATTCTACGGCCTCCCTGCTCCTCAGGGCCATCTCTTTTCTGTGCTGGCCAGGTTTCGTAGGTTTCTCCCCCAATGGCTGATCTGGTTTTTTAGCCAGTGCCTGAGAATGGCATTCTGCAGCTCGGTGCCCCACTTTTCCAGACTTGAAACAGAGTAAGGATTTCGGAGAAGGTGTTGTTTGCGGTTTAAAAGGTTCTTGTTTCCATTGGGGTGGGGATTTCTTCCACATTCGTCTTGCCCGATACTGATTTTTGGCCATGTTGATCTCTGCTTCTTCAACAATAAGATACCACTCATGTAGATGGGTTGGGGCACCTCGGGTCACACAAGCATTGTAGAGTTCATCATTCAGCCCATCCTTGAACCAGGTTACCAGGATATCGTCTGGCCAGTTCACATGACATGCCAGGTCTCGGAATTCTTCTGTATACTTTGCCACTGGCCGGCATCCCTGCTTCACAACTTTAATGCAGTCGCGTGCTTTGCAATCTGTGAGGGGGTCCTTGGACCCCTGGGAGGTAAGTTTGCCTCTGCACCCAAGGCAGAGCTGGGGCTGGCAAGAGTGTACTAGAAACACCTCCAGGTGCCAGGAAAGATGGAACAAGAGGCATATTCCAGCCCTCACAGGCTCAGCTGATCCACGGGACTGCAATTAAGGGGCCGAGTTGGCTCCAGGCCAAGCTCACAGTAGCACTTTACCTACATTTCCAATCTCACTGTTATGCCAAGTCTTGCCGTGCATCCTCTCCATGCACAGGCGGCACCAAGGTCTGACCACTGGAGTCATGCTGGCAGGGAGGAAAGGGGCAGAGCCTTCATGAGGTGACCGGGGAGGGAAGGAGTCACCATGCTAAGCACCACCTCAGAGATCACTGCCCCTGTTTGTGAGGGTATATGTGGTTGGGCAGGTGCTCATGGGCTGTTCCTGGCCTGGAGGGTGGGGGGATAAGTTTTCTCCTCTAGTTTCATCACCTCTTCCTTGGCTGGGGGAGGGTTACAACTTCGACTCAGGCCTTCAATTTATGTGGGCTTCTGAATCGGGGTGGAATCGAAGTAGAACACCCTCTGTTTAGTTACTTTTTCCCCCCACAGTGTTTTATTTTCTGCCCTTGGGTCTAGGTTTGGGTGATTTAAACATATGTTGTGCTCTCCCACTCCATCTCACTATGTCTTTGCTTGCCTGTGACTGCTGCCAGATATCATTGGCCCCTGTGCATTTGCCATTTTCTGTGCTGGCCATGATCCCTTCACTTCAGGCTGCTAACAATCTTCACTAGCTCTTATTTTTTGGCTAGGACTTATGAATTAAGTGTACTTAAAATCAGGCTAGGGCTTATTTTCAGGATAGGGCTTGTTTTCAGGGAAACATGAGATATGCACATGCACCTCTCTGTTTCATGGTTTCTCTCAATATATTTTTTTTCTGAGAAAAAAGGGGAAACAATCTGGGCACATTCTACAATCCCAGTACCTCCAAATTTATTGGATTTCAGTTCCCATAATCACATGCAAACATAGCACTCAAATTGGGGAAGGAATGTATGCAACAAAATGACAGTAAGGGAGAATGTTATAAAACATATAGTTATAGCAGTAAACTTTAATAGATGAAGGATAAGGTGCAAAACCAATGGGAAATCAGCTGCACAGTGGCTTTGCATTGTGGTACCATTTTTAACTAATTTGAATGAATTACAGGCAAATATTTGGATAATTACAGAATGTAATGACTGTAAGTGTGTATGCATCTAATGAAGGTGGCAAATCACTGAACTCTGCACAGTATGCACAGCAACACCTGAAGCAAACCAATGCTTACTAAAAAGTAATACATAACCCTGAAAATACCCTTGGTGATGACTTTTGAAAACAACATCTACACATGCTTTTTTTTGGTCACTTATGCACAACTAATTGGCATAACATTTTTTACATTCATGTTAGTAATTTTTAAACCGTTGGTTGCCTAATGTTTCATATTACACGCCCTCCTATGAAATTGGAGCATTCTGCCACTTGATTCTAAAATCAAATTGTTATTGGCATTTCAGTGGCCCTGAGACATTTTCATATGATGCCCAACATTTACACTTTAATATATATCTAATGCTGACTTCATTCTAAATGGGTTTCATTCTCAAAATAGGTTGCATGGTAGCTTTCTCACTATTTTTTTTTCATTTCTACATCCTACTGAATATTAATGTGATCTTGAGGGATTTTGCAGCCTAGATTGGTTCAACCAAATTACTGAAGAATGTCTTTATCCCTTACATATCACCCAACAACTGACCTATTTCATTCCTTTCAGAGAGACTAGCAGCCCCTTACTTTCATGTTACTAAAGATGTATAACTGAAGAAAACATTCATGGAAATTAATGATGACTAAGATTTACTCGGTTCTTAGATCAGACTAGAGATGATATTTTTTTACAAAAAACAAACCTCTATTTTGCATTATGATTGTCTGCATTATGATTGTAATCATGCAGTACCAGAATGTGTTCTGGTAAGCACATTTAGTAGAAGGCAATTTCCACTAAAAGCCACAACCTGATATACTGGTTTTAGAACAATCACTAATTTGTTATATAGACATTTCACATTTGTCCTGAAATTAGCTCTAAAATTAAGAAGAATGTGCCTTTCATAATTGATAGATGTGGTGCCTGCTCTGCATAGATGCTAGGCTTCTTCCCTCTCCCTCAATACATTTTTACAGATTGATCTTGACTCTAATTAGTTTATTATAATAATACATAGAGAGATACAGACACAGACACACAAAGTATGTATGTTTTTCAGAATATATAAACTCTTATTTTCTTAATTAAATCCATACCAAAGTCTATGGGTTCCATAAACCTAATCTCTTATTCTTCCAATATCTAAGCAGTGCAATGACTGACAACATACATTAATTTTTGATTACAAATCAAATATGCCAGTTAAGCCACTCAGTAAATAATGTTTTGACATTATTTAGTATTAGCTAAAAAAAGCTGACTTTTAAAAAGGAAATTGAAATCCAACACACCTGGAAGATGCCAGGCAAGGAAAGCCTGGTGAATACCAAAGGAGTGATGGCTCTTCTTCAGCATTATTTAACATTTTTATCATCTGGTCTTACCTTTAAGTGTTTCCTGTACAATATGTGCAAAGACTGCTAATTTATGACTATTTTGATTCTTCACAGAATTTTCCCCAGTAGATGGCAATGGCACTAAATGCAAGTTAACCAGTATTAAATCATTCATTCCAATCTAGGAACAAACATAGACAGCATTAAGAGATTTTCAAGGGTCTGTTTACAAATACATCACAAATGAAAGATCTCTCCTGATTGCTCACCACTGTGCTCATCAATACAATCATTTCTAATTTGCAGAGAGACACATTCTTTTTAATAGCCACAAACAGACCTCTGGTTTAGTTTGAATCTTTTGGAAAATACATTACTATCAATTTTTATTACAACATATCTAAGGCAAGACTATAAACCTAGGAGACAATGTTACCACTTTTAATTGCTCAATGAAACTATAAAAAGCATGCCTGTACCATTTCCGACTCGTTCTTGAAGTCTTCCATTTGGCAAAGTCAAGTCTTACCTTGAAATATGCAATGTAAGGGTGAGGATGGACTTGTTTCCCACTGCCATTTGTGTATGGGCCTTCAGAGAAAGTAGCTTCTTTCAGTTCTATCCCTGCAGTTGTGTCCCACAGGAAGCCAGAATATTCTACACACTGAAAACCAAAAAAGAAAAAATAGCTAAACCAAATAATTCATCATTAAAAATGGCTAAATTAATTCCAATCAGCCAGTCTAAGCATCATTACATTTGAATCCAATCTAAGTTGATGTTTTATATACCATATTTTTTGCACTATAAGACACTCCAAACCATAAGACGGACCTAGCTTTTGGGAAGGAAAAAAAAATGTTCCTCTGCTTCCCAGCAATTTGCCTCCTTGCAGCAAATGGGTTTGAGCTTTGAGCTTTGTGTGCCTCTAGTTAAAGTGGTTGCCCTGGTTCCTGTCTTCCTGCCTTAATGGGATAATCCTTCCACAGGACCTTTCCTATCCTGGAGCTTAATTGTGTCAGGGGCAGAAAATAGGGAGTTCTGGTTTTGCTGCCATTGTTATCCAGAAGTGGTGGTGTCATATGGAACCTTGTCTGGAAGGAGAAGAATGTAAAGTGCTTCCAGATTACTCAGATTGGTCATGCAGCAGTGGAAACAAAGTTAAAACAACCAAGCTTTCAGAAAACTGTTGGGGCTGGTTGAAGTTTGCTTTGATGCAGAGATTACTGTCACTATTCACAAGCTGACCTGACTAAATGTGCATGCCCAAGATGGTGTCCTGTCGCATTTGAGGAGAGCTTCAGGGAGATGATTGTCCTTCTCGGGGCTTGCAGGGGGTACCCTATCCCATCATTGGGTTCAGATCCAGCTATGAGAACTTCCTGGGACCTTGGGGATACGCTTGAGCTGCGATTTCCTGCCTTGTAGCCGGAATGTCGTGAGTGAAATGGGGCGGTTGGTGGTGAAAGGAGAATGAAGAGCGCCGGCGGCTGCCAGCATGGGTGTGTTCAGCGGCGGTGGCAGGACACCCGGCCTGGGGTCTCTGCAGCTGCTGCTCCCCACACCGTGGTGTTATCCCGATAGCTCCCCCCTCCACCTTGCTTATGGGCGTGATAAATTGGATCAGCCAGGAGTGGCTGAGGCAGCTGGCATGGATATTGATGCCAGCGGAAGATGGCTTCGGTAGTTGGCATGGGCACGGTTGGAGTGGGGGGGGTCCTTCGTTGTGGCTCCCTCCAGTATCACCGCTATTGCCTGGGCCACTGTACTGTGTCATTTGGCCCCTCCTCTTGTGACACTATGGACTGGGTCAACGGAGTGCGGCCCTGGCAATGGATATGAGTGCGGCTGACGTGGACGGAGCTTACCTGTTGGAGATGTTGAAGTTGGAGCAGCTGCTGCTGCCACCACTGTCCTCACCACCGCCATTACTTCACCACCTCGCAATTTATCATCTACTGTGATTTTGACATCTGGCTGTTACTCTTACATATTGTCCTTAACACCGACCATTGCTATGATGGACATAAACTTCCCGCTACCCCATTGAACACTGTCGGCTGCCCCCCCTCATGGACATGTCATCTCCCCGTTCCATCTCCCCGTGATGTCACCCTGTTTGGTTGATGCCACACTCTCCTCTATGTTATACTGCGACAGAACTTTATTCCCTTCGGGAACTCCCCCTTTCCCGGGGATGGCCTTCTTGCCTATCAAGATGCTTTGTTAATGATGGATCTTGGTATCCTGAGAGGTGGCATGCGAAGAAGAGACTTCTTAGGTTTTTTTTTACAGGGGTTTTTAAATCAAATTTTAAGGGGGTG